GCATAGTTATGCATGAATATCCATCCATGCAACCAAAACCAGAGAAAACAAAACAAAGCGGAGAAAAGCAAGCTGAGGTTACGATGTATCTCCAGGTTTGCAGATGTTGGCACTGTACCAAACTACATCGATATTTCATTCCAGTAGGTGGGGACTATTCACATGTGAACCCTGTGGTCACACTTCTTATAATAGAGATGCAACTACACACCTTCTGTTAACCATTAACGACTGTTCCACAGCAATATTTCAGAGAATTCTGAATCAAAAACAAGGGTAAAGATGGGATGCGCTTACCTTTGGGGTTTGCCCTTAAAATTGTAAAGCCAGAAAACCAAGGGTTGGAATGGTATTGAGTGGCATAAATAAGGTAAGCTCTTCCTCCTCCTCCTAGTCTTATAAGGAAAAATCAGATTCTGAATATATCCATCAAGAAAAAGAAGCTCAAGGGAATCTGATGGAGTTACATGTTGCTGCAATTTTACTTTTATGATGGATAAAATGTTTTAAGTAATTCCAGTGGTTTGAGCGTGTCAAGCACGGTCTTGAGAGACTATTGAGACACGCATTTGTACCTCACATGGTAGAAGGGTTTGCTTGACTCTTTGCCCATCCCTTTTCCAGAACTTGCCATGATCTTTTTCCGATGATCTAGGACAGTTTCTCCGAAGCAGATTAGTATGGAGGGTATCATTTCTTGTCCCTTAGCCCAGATGGTAGGGTACAGCGTGACTGTCATTATAACACACTCACACCCCCACACACATACACACCAGGTCTTAATGGATTTGAATTGGCAGAATTTTTAGAAGTGACACAACTTGTACCTGAGCATAGGAGATGCTCTGAGTTGATTGTATTTTTAATTAGCTAGGCAGTGTTTTGTGAAGAAGCCAGAAATATAAGTATTCAAGATAAAAGCACTGGTTCCTTCCACATCCCCCTCACCCTATGCAATCTTCTCAGCAAGAGATGTTCCTATAATCATGGCTCTGATTAATTCTCCCTGGTGAGCCCTGCAGAAAATAGTCGGGCATAATCAATTAATCAAATTAGGATAGGTACTAATCATGAACTCCTCCTTCCTCTGTTCCTTTTTCTCTAACAAAATGCATGCTATCTCACTGGTTTGTTAAAAGGCAATCATTTTAAATTTGCTCATTGGGTTTCAGTGCAAAAAATGTAACAATGTATACGCTATGAATATATAAGATTTTCCTTGTGCTGTAACATTTCCATATGCAGTTTTAATGATATAAACTTTAGGTTTTAGCGTCTTTTAAAGCTGCCACTACTTAGCTTTTCTTCCCTTTAATCTGTAAAACAATACAATATTGATTTTATTGTATATTACTCAGCATTCATTTGCTTGCTGACTGGAACACAACTGAAACTGGCTTAAGGAGGGAAAAAGAATTTGTTGGCTCTAGTAATTAGGACATTCAAGTGTAAAATTTTCTTAAGACACTGCTGGAAGCCTCAAATTATGTAGTCAGGACACTGGCATTCCCTGTATTGCAGCCCTGCCTTCCTTTGGTTTAGTTTTCTTCTCAGACAGCCTCCTCCCATGGGGTGGCAATGATGGCCACCAACAGCTTCGAACTGTCTGACACCACCAGAGGAAAGATAGGCTATTTCTAGCAAAAATTTTAGGCCTTGCTTTCCCTGGTCCAGCCAGTTAGCTAAGGGATTCTTGTTGCCAGGAATGGACTATTCTGATTGACCAGCCCTGCTTATGTGTTCATCACTGGAGCTAAGTATTAGAGGAGGGAAGAGTTGGTTCCAGTAAGGAAAATCAAGACATTATTCTCAGAGAAAGATGAAATAGATGGATGGACAGCAGAAAATTATGGTAAATGTTCACTTTCATCAGGATACTCTCTTGCTCCAGTGGGAGGACATATAATAAGATGACAAGAATGATGTAAGCTAAAGCTCAAGTTTTGGAATTCATAGCCCTGAATTCTATTCCCAGATTGGTCAAGTGCTGCTGTGTATGACTTTAGCAATTCAGTTAACCTCTCTGACCCTCAGCCTCTTCATCTATAGGATGGAGGTTGGACTTAGAGGTTGGACTCAAAAGTTGGAGGAGGAGAAAAAGGGCAATGTCTGGCACTTATTAACACGCAGTAAAGGGTAACTAATTAAGATATGACACTTTTGCTATTCTTAAAATTACAATATTGTATTCTGGGATGGTCCCCTTCCTCCTAGTGTGGAAGTCAAAAACTCCTAAGCCTCAGTTTTCTCATTTGCAAAACTAATGAACCACTTAGTTGACTCAATAAATATCTATGACGAGGATACAATATACCAGGCAATTCTCTAGGGCACTGAGGATGTCACAGTGATCAAGACAGTGTCCTATGCCCTCTTGAAATGTATATTCTAGTGAGCAAGACAGATCACAAATAAAGAAGCAATTGACTATATGTGTATATACTGAGAAGGAAAAATAGAACAGAGAAAGAGGATAGACATTTTTAGAAAATGGGGTGTGAAATTGTAGTTAGGTGTCGAGAGAAGACCTGTCTGAGGAAGTGATATTTGAGCGGCACCCCTAAGGAAGTGAGAGAGTAATCTACATGGTCACATTCCAGGGAAAAGAGACAAAGTGAAAAGGCCCTGAGGTGGGAACCTACAATTACGGCCCAGGAAAGCAGCAAAACCAGTGAGATGGTGGGCAGGGAAGGGGAGGGGCGTGGCTACAGTTGAGTTTGAAGAGTGGGGACCAGACCATGTAAGGTCTGGTTAGCTATGATAAGGAATTTGGATTGTATTCTAAGTATGATAGGAAGCCACTAGAATTTTATGCAAGCAAAAAATGACCTGACTTACATTTTAAAAATATCATTCTGGCAGGAGACAGGTTGGAGATGTGAGTGAGTATTTCAGAGAAAGAAATTGGTGGCTTGGCCCCAGGTGCTGGGTGCAGAGGTGATGAGAAGGGTCAGGTGTAGGAATAATTTTCTTTCTTTCTTTTACTTTTTTTCTTTCATTCTTTTTTCTTGAGACAGGGTCTCACTTTGTCACCCAGGCTGGAGTGCAGTAGCATGATCTTGGCTCACAGCAGCCTCAATCTCCTGGACTCAGGTGATCCTCCCACCTCAGCCCCCCAGGTAGCTGGGACTACAGGCATATGTCACCATGCCCAGCTAATTTTTTGTAGAGACGGGGTTTTGCCATGTTGCCCAGGCTGGTCTCAAACTCCTGGGCTCAAGCGATCCGCTCACCTAGGCCTCCCAAGGTGTTAGGATTATAGGCATGAGCCACCACCCCCGACCAGGAATCATCAGAATGAGTTTGCTGATGGTTTGGTCTTAGGGCATGAGAAGAAGTTTTTTTGGTCTGAATCACTGGGTAGATGGTGGGCCATTTACTGAGATGGAGAACACTGGGAGAGAGCAGGTTTTTGTGTTGGAGATGAGAAAGGAAGAGTTTAGTTTGAAATGCTTTATAAATCATCCATCTTGAGATGCTGGATGGTCACTGTCTACGTCTGGGAAAGTCTCAACGTAGGGATACAACTTTGGGAGTCTACAGTGAATAGTATTGTAATTGTACGGCATTTTCAGCTACCAGATGGATGTGATTATCTCAGGAAAAATTTTAGATAGATGAGGAAAGAGGATTGAACCCCATCACTTCAATAGTTAGGGCTTTGTACTTGTATATTTCCAGCAAAATATTATTCTACATCCAAAATATAAAACAGATAGGTGTGGACCGAGCTACTTTGCTTCAGATTAAGGGAGGGGGCTCAGATTCCTGCAGGTGGAGCCTTCCCCATGTCTGCTCCAGGCCCAGAAATGCCCATGGGAGCTCCTGTTAAGTTTAGAGGATCTAAGAAACAAACATTGAAAAGCACTGAGAGTCGAGGTCCTTTCCAGATCTTGTGATCTGCCATTCTCTTCCTGGCTGCCAGCCTCATCTGTTAGCTCACCCTGGCCAAGGTGTCCAAGGGTCCAAGCTGAGTTTCATGGTTCTGTTATGTAGATAAACAGATTTCAAATTTCCTCTTGGTAAGATTCAATTAGAAAACTAGCAAACACAACTATAGACCACCAGAGCTAAGAGTTAACTCAGAGACTATTTTTTTCCAATCTCTTCTCTTTACTGAGAAGTGGATGATGATGCTCAGAAGAAAGAGGAACGTGCTCATGGTGACCCTGGAAGAGACAGCTGGGTCCTGCCCCTACACTCACTGATTCATCATGCTGTGGAACAGATGTGAGGAAGATATAAAAATTCTTTGCAAAAATGGAACTGAACAATTAGTTAAGAGGGTTGATTTTGTGGAAATCAGTGAATGCCCATCCATTAAAGAGTATGAGGTCTTCTGAAGGTCTGCGATAGAGGAACTTTGGTAATTCAGAGTTAACTCTCTTTCAATTGGGAATTCTTAGCCTGGGGTTGCTGGATGGGCCTGGGATTCCTGGATTCCTGAGTTCAAGGAACCATGGACTGTCTAGAAAGTGTGCATGTGTGTGCATGCATATCTATTTTTTTCTGGGTAGACAGTTCTCAAGAGTTTACTAGATTCTCAAAAGAATCTGTGATTTCCTACCCTTAAAATGGTTTAAACATTTTTTTTTTCTTTGAAAATCCTCATAGGAACAAAATGACTGGCGATTTTGGGCAATATACTATTTTAAGCATAAGAATGTAGCTGCCTATCTTCACTAGTTACTATCCTAATGCAGATCATAAAAATAAGCCACGTTTCTGGGAAGAACAAAAATAACAATAATTGGAGCAAAAAGAAGCACCCATATGTTTTAATCACCAAGCAATCAGTAGGATGTAAAGAAACCTTTTGTGACACTCAGCTGTTCCATACGTCCATATGCCAAAAGCTTTTTGCTTTAGTACTATTTATTAAATATTTCTACAAAACAAGTCTTAATAGGAAACAATAATTACTTGACTTTTTTAAACAAGTACTTCTTTTTTCAATGGTACTTTCTTTTTTAACATCTTTTTTACTTCCCCCATTTTAGGACCCTGTGGGCACCGAAATCCGACTCACTCATGCTTATTTCCTGTAATGGACAAATTTGATGCTAATGTGAGGTATGTTACCTTTCTGTACATATTGTGTTGTAAATTGTGAACATTTCTGCTATGAAGTCTCTAAAAATCTGTTGTTATAGAGTTATAAAGTTAACGGATATGGATTTTCTTTGATGTTTCATATATAATCATGTTCATGGTACTGTTTGATTATTAGTGTTTTGTCATTTCTGTTTAAATGAAAAATGTAATATGGCTGTAAATATTTCCAGCTTCCTATATTAAAAGTCTGCATTATGGAGATGGTGTTTGAAAATAGATATTCATCTCTGTAATAGGAAGAAAGATGTATTTAAGTAGGGGTAAAAATAGCTTAAGAATATCTATCTGTACATCTAAACTTGAGACAAATTCAAGTTGCTTTTTATAGCAGGTCTAGTTTGTCCACTTCTTTTCTCAACTAGGTTATTATATTATGTGACATAATGGTTGCATGGTATAGTTACATAAAGCTAAATGGTTTTCTTTGGTTCTGATTTGTTTTCCTGTAATTTTCTGCAAACCTTGGAGATGAAATAATAATCTGACTCCTAGAGAAGATTTTCTTTTAGAAAAGACTTGCTTTATTTGGCACAATCAAATAGTACAAAGAAAAGTGTATTCAATAAGGCCTAAATGTTATGAATTGGCATTTGACACTGAGAATTATTCATAGATATCAGTAGCTGGAATACATCCTAAAAAATACATTCTTTCTGTAATCACAGGAACTGTTTTTCATTCACTTGAGACCTCTAGAAAAGTATATTTCAGGTATAGATCAGGGGCCTTGTGCCTCTGTGTTTGACATAGTAGGAAACTATCACAAAAGGAACTGCCAAATATCTTGACAGAAACTCTAGTGTAATATGACTTGAGTTGCCAAGATGTACTATCACCCCAACCAGGGAATTCCTTGAGGGTAGAATGTGTTTCATGATCCCTGGCAAAATCCCTGGTACATGGTGGGTATTTAACAAAGAGATGTTGATCAGTTTGTCATTGTTGTAATATATATATTTCAAACAAGGTTATGTTCTAATACATATAGATATGCAAAAAGACTGTATTTTTAGCAATAAAACATTTTACACTCTCAATAAAAGTGTGTGGACTTTGTTATTTCCCAGATGTACTGACTTGGTTCAGAGTCTTAGGACTTTAACATAGATTATTTAGGCTGGTACCAGACCTGGTGCCAGGTCTTTAATTTTCCTCTAAAAGTTTGTGAAGTTATTTGCCCAGAGAAAGCAGAGTGAAATGCAGAGAATCTCAATTTTATTTTTATTAATGAAAAAGCCAGAGTGAGCAATGTCAATGGTGACACATTATAAAATTGTTTTAAATTTCCGACACTGTATCAAACTGGATCAGTTGGTCAAAATGTACTTTTGGGGGAATCATTCAGATATTATGATCTGTAATATTTCTAGCTTTTAAACATTTATTTATAGCAGCATTAGATTCTAAGAGCAGAACACAATTTGATTAAATGGACATTAGCCATTCTTCTGGGTGCTGTGGAACAATAGTACAGGATACAAGATGATATCACGCCCCAGAATCTTGTCTCTGGACCATCCTGTCTGTCAGTTTTCTAACCAGATCCCATCAACATATGTTCCTCCTCACCCACTCCCCCCTCCATCCACAATATTAATAACAGGTAAATGCCACAGACTTTCCACTCATGTCCTCTCCGTACAGTCTCTGAATGTCCATAATAAAAGGTTATATGGCTCACATTTACCAAATTGTGATGCATGAATTGTTAGGAATGCATAATGAATTTAGGTGGTATACCAACAGTATTTTTATTTTAAAATTAAATGCTTATTTTGAGGTTACCTCCTGAGGATGAGTAATACTATTCTGCCACTTAAAATAGTGAAAAATATTTCCTTACATGATTAATTTATTTAAAATGAAATGTCAGTTTCTTTTAAAAAATATGCATTTTTATATTAATTGATAAAGGAATGTTAAAAAAAAAAATCACGGCCGGGCGCGGTGGCTCAAGCCTGTAATCCCAGCACTTTGGGAGGCCGAGACGGGCGGATCACGAGGTCAGGAGATCGAGACCATCCTGGCGAACACGGCGAAACCCCGTCTCTACTAAAAAATACAAAAAAAACTAGCCGGGCGAGGTGGCGGGCGCCTGTAGTCCCAGCTACTCGGGAGGCTGAGGCAGGAGAATGGCGTAAACCCGGGAGGCGGAGCTTGCAGTGAGCTGAGATCCGGCCACTGCACTCCAGCCTGGGCGACAGAGCCAGACTCCATCTCAAAAAAAAAAAAAAAAAAAAAAAAAAAAAAAAAATCACAAGGGCCTTACGCAAATGACTAAAGTCTAGACACTCATGTTCTAGGTATAATTAGCAAGGGTAAATTTTGTCATTTTAAAAGCATGAAGCAGAAATTCTTCTTTGGTAAGGGATGTCCCCACTTGGAAAAGTGCCTGCGTAAGGTAAAACCGAAAAGTCTGGATTTCTAGCCCAGGAAAAGAATCCTTTTACTTGCTCTGAAGATAGAAGAAAATGAATGGAAAAGGGAGGAGTTTGGAGGAGAGATGATTCAGAAAGGGAGAATGTGGGCTCTGTTTGGGAAGGGGCAAAACATTAGTTGTAGGGGACTTTGAGAGTACAGTTGCGTAACTTTTTGTTTTTTTCTTTAATGGGGTATGTGCGCTGACTTCTCCAAGGACTCAGTCCTTCAGGAAAATTTTCTAGTTTGGATATGAATTAGTGTTGAACGTTTCTTTTGTTGAATGTGTGAGCTCAGCATGGGGTAGAAACTGGTATGATCCCATTTAATTTTTAACACAGTCCTACAAGATACATATCCTTATTATCCCTATTTTACAATGTGTGTCAACTAAGACACAAGGAGGTTAAATAACTTTCTCAAGGTCATAAAACTGCATTGCTTTCTCTTATATGATAAATATTTTATTTCAATACGTATGTGCATGTGAATGTGCGTGTGTGGGTCTATGTATACATTGCTGAGATGTCTGACATTCCTGTGTTGGTAAATGTGGTTCGGAAGAGAGGATGCCCATGTGAGATAGGACACCCAAAAGGAACAGGATGGCAGGAGATTATAAATGCCCGAGGGAGATTTCAGAAATCTGAAAGAAGGCTTTAGACTTCCACAAGCTGTAGAATTGAGGGACTCCAGTCAATTTTCTCCAGATGTCAAGAGACAGAGAGGTCCTAGTTGACATTTTCTATTAAATAAAATGTCTTACAGTTAAGTATTTTGTCCAGCCATATTGATCACTTCATTTTTTGTTTGTTTGGCGTCATTTAATTGAGTTTTCTAATTCAGCTTGGTCCTTGCTACAATGTGTCTGTCAGCATTCTTGACTAAAAACATCAGAAACTAACTCTGGCCAACATAATCAAAGGTAATTTGGGAGTAGTTACAGTGTACAAGCTCGAAGAATTACTTTGAAAAATGCTGGAGGACCAGGATTAGACATAAAAAAGAACTTTGGGAGTTCCAGGAAAGTTAGAAAATGGAATCATGGCCAACTACAGGAAGAAGTTGTCAGTAGATTGCCTTTATTTCTTTACTATAAAATAATTAAGCACCTACACTTTGTGTCAGAAAGAGGGAGACAATTTCCTGGGCTTAAGGATCTCATAGTGTAGCTAGACGACAATCATTGAACTAAAGTATTTAATATGATGATAACAGAATTCTAATAGTAAGTATATACAATGAGCTATGTTCTCTGTGAACTACAAGGTAAGACTAAAGAAAAGTCATACTAGGTCTTGATTTTAGCAATATGAGAAGCATTATAAGCATTTTCCTCTGAAGAGCCTCCATGGCAGAGAAAGCAGTTGATGCATGATGGATTGAATCATGATGAAAACCTGGCAGTGAATCAGGCCCTAGTTGGGAAGGCAAGTTCCTGATGAGTCCTGTCCCTTGCTAAATAGTGTCAGCCAACTTAGCAGTCAACAGGCAGCCTCTTTCCAGACAATCTGACACCCACCTGATCTGTTTTATTGGTCTGTGTTTTCCTCCTCAAGGCTCCAGAGGAGGCAGCTGCACGTTTTTTTTTTTGTTTTTTTTTTTTTGTTTTTTTTTTTTAAGGGTTGAAGAAGAGAAATGGAAACACTGGCTTTGGTGATTTTGCAGCAGATACCCTGTGGAATATCTTTGGCTTGCATTTGGGGTGTGAGCCTTACTGGTGCCTTACCCTGCTTAATTCAGCCCTGAAACACTTAATGTCTGACTTCAGAGACAGCCATGCTTTTGATGTTGTTTAACTACCAGATTTTCCCCGCTGACATGTGGTTTTCCTCAGTTCCAGTGTGATCCCTAAATGCTGCTCAGGTTTCTGTCTTTTGCCTTGCTGTTTATTGTAATTTGAAAGTTTCTGCTTTCTAAGAAATGTTTTCAATCAATTTTTTTTTAAGTTCCAGAGAGTACAATGTTCCGGCAGGAGATAAACAGGTGAAGGAAAGTCCGTATGTACATAAACTTGCACTTTGAGGTTTCTCAAGATAACGCCTCCAGACGTGGAGCAGAGAAAACGTTCCTTTTATACCTTAGTTCTTTTTAACTGTAGCTTCCTTCTACCCTTGACTCAGCTCCCTGCCCCATGAGCTCTCTACCCTCTTGCTTCACTGCCCCTGTAGTCCCTGGGGTTTCTTCCTTCTTTAATAAGAACAACCTCATTTAAGGATCTGCTTCTTCTCTGCAAAGTAACTGTTGTGCTTTCTTATTAATGTTTCTCATTAGCAACCAAAAAAAGCATCTTATAGGATTATGAATCATAAAAATGGTAGCGTTTTCCACCCTTTGCTAGGGTTTCTAGGAAACTGAGAGACAAATTTGTAATTGCCATGAATAAGTGTAGAAGATCTCTAGGTATGTACAATGGCTCTAACATGCCTTTACTATATTTTCCAACCCTTTTGATCCTTCATCTTGTTTCCTTTGTGTTTTAAATAATGTATTGATCATTCTTGTAAACCACTATAAGTATGTGAAGGAAGAAGGAGGAA